ACGGCGCGCGTCCGCGTGAAAGAACGCAGCGAGCCGTCTGTTCACGCGAGGGATGAGCACGCCCGCTGATTCAATTTATTAATTCCATTAAATGCCGCGCGGCCAGGACTCGTTCGGCGACATTAGACGTAGGGGGAATGAGGTCATTGTGTTATGGAAACTGTTTTTCGGTGGAGCCGCGAATTGAGTGTTCAAAAGTCTTGTTAATAGGATATATAGAGACACATCTGGACACTAGAGCCAGAGTGTATTAAGTCAGACTTATCAAATTTTAAAAGGAGAGCAAATGAAAGGTGCAAGGACCTTGTAACTGAAACAGGGCAGTTAGTTAGGGCTTGTTAGTAGGTTAAACATTCAAGGTTACTTCTTCCACTAGTCGGAAATAATTACTGCCCCTATTTCTTGGAATACAGGAAAAATGGTAAAAAAATCCAAGTACAACTACCGTTCGACGAACGAATCCAGCCGCCTATAGACTATAGACGCCTGATAGTAGCGAAAGGGTTACAGTCGTGCTCATCGCAGACTCGCTTAAATACACTCTTCCCACCCTTCCCCAATTTTTTTTTAATCGAGACGAGAGAAGTACCCTTTTCTTCTTGGCTGTTCGGGGAGTACGTGTACCCGTCCTCGACAGCCAGCCACTCGATCACGTCTACGAAATCCGCCACAAAGCTGGGCACCAGACATTTCAAGGTAGCGGTGTTGCCGCGCAAGACGAACTCGTCGATGACCCTCGTCTCGTAGAACTGCTGGACCACTGCAACGCGCATTTTCCCAGGTAACAGAACGATGGAATACGAAACGTAACGAACAAAAAAATATTAGACCAGAAGGATGTACATCATCTTATAATTCCCGTACTAAATCCCACGATTCGATGATGGTCGAGTTCGTTCGATGGTAAAGGAAATGAAAAATAAATGGAGGGTGATGGGGGGTTAGGCGGGGCGAAATGGACGAAAACGGAATTGAACGGCAAAATGCACATTTGCAGAGAAGAGAAAAAGTGATACGACGATCACACACGCCCTACGCCTACCGTAATCTTCTCCGGTCGTGTATATCGTTCCATCATCGGCTATCCATTGATCCACCTGCACGAACTCGGACACGAAACTCGGTATTTTGCATTTCATGATCGCGCTGTTCGCCCGTATCACGTACTCGTTCTCGGCCTCGGTGACGAAGAACTGCGAAACGACTGCCCGCGCGGGCACGACCAGGATATATGTATATGTATCACATACACGTGTTAAAACGATCAGGTGGAGAACACAGACACAGTGATTATGCGGATCGTCGCGGAATTTCGGTACACAGAGACAAACGTAGTGGTGTGGATTAGTCGATCACGTTAATTCACAGAATACCAGCACGACACGCCCCAGGGTAATACACTTTCATCTGCCCGCTTCTACCGTCGGATTTCCCGGTGTGCTCTGCCACTTTCCGTCGTGTGACGTTTCAAAGTGGTCCTCGAACAGTTCGTCGCTTTTCCAAGCGTTCCCTTTCGCGCCAGAACGATTCCTCACGAATGAAATCCACCTGGGGATTAATCGTTAACGCCCAGGCAAAGTTCCCGCAGACGTTCGCCGCGTGTCGCCGGCAGACAAGTACGAATTTACCGTGAGGCGTGTCTGAAACCACCCCCCACCCCCCCCAGTCCGATTAACTTGGTGCCAGTACCCTGCACGACAGCAGGATCCTCCGGCAGATAGACCTCTCCGTCCTCCCTGATCCACGCCTCGACCGTAACGAACTCCGCGATGTAACTCGGGATGCTGCACTTCAAGATCGCGCTGTTTCCACGAATCACGTACTCCGTGAGAATTTCCGGCTGATACGGCTGCGTGACGACTGTATAGAAAAATAGGCTACTGGGCTAGTAAAAAAAAAAAAACGTTCGACTACACGAAAGTTCCTGCAAGCCACCGACCAGAATCACGGAAGTTTATCGGGTAACCTCGTGACGTCGCGGGGATTCGTGTTTCAAACCGGGGATGGCGGATTAAAGGAGATATCTTGGCTCGCTGGTGGATGCAAATTAAGACGATTTATTACCCTCTTAGATCTCTCTCTCTCCCAGCCGAGACTTCAGCCCGCCTAGTGTTTTATAGCTCTCCCACTTGATCACCCGGCATTCGCGAATCCCAAGCGCGGATTTCGGATCGATTCGAGAGCGAAACGTTTCTCTTGCTCGAGCAAAAATACATACGTCCAACCAAGCGATCCCTTGGGTGTGTGAAGTCACGCAGGAATCTAATTCGTTCGTTTTCTTAGTACCAACTGTAGGAGAGAATCCAGGCGTGAGAACCACGACGGGATGGTTCATTAACCCTCGCGCGTTGCCGCCGCCGTACAACTGCCGCCAGACTGGACCGCGCCGGAAACGAATCGTTACCACGTGCCACTTTGAACTTCTACCAAGTTCGGCGGGGAACGAAGGGGGAGGGGAAGGGTGTGCCCGGTTAAAAAAAAATCCTCGAGGGACTTGAAGTTCACGGCGAAGGGATCAAGGGCAATGAGGGGAGAGAAGGGCGGGCAGGGGCGAGGATAAAGAAGAAGAGAAAAAAGGGCAGGGACCAAGAGCCGTGTAGATATACCGTAGTCGGTGGACGGTTTGAAGGTCGAACCGTCGCTTCCCACCCAGGAGTCTACAGACACGAATTCCGCGACGAAGCTGGGTATGGTGCACTTCACGATGGCTGCGTTACCACGGATCACGTATTCGGACACGACCTCCGCCTCGTAGTACTGGGTGACGACTGGGAGAAACAAGGGGGGCGACGGGATAAGTGGTTGAACGACTTTTCAAGACTTCCTTGTACTTGCTGTATGAGGTTTCCAGGGGTGAAATAAAGAATTATCGTTTTGAAAGTATATGTAGGTTGCGGAAAGAGCACCTTCGATTGTCCTGACATTGGTCAGCTGAGAAGGACTCCTTAAACTTTCGGCTGTCAGCCGAATCGATTTACATGTGACGAAAACAATCCGACGACCTATGTCGATGCCACTGTCACCAAAGCCTTATCAAAAGATCAACCGACAATTAAAGAGTACGAACGACCGATTAAGTGTCTATAACATAATCGTGAGTAACCTACACAGATAAAAAAAATACTATTTCCGCGCGTGGTTCGTAAAGGTCTCGCAGGCAGAGTGTACTACCCGTAGGAAACCTCAGACAGCATCAACGATAAGAGTTACGTAATGAGCGTCTGGTACGGTTCAGTGAGTCAGTTCGTCCGTTCCGGTTGCGAAATCCTTTTCTCATCGGGCACCCCTCTCTACTGTCGAGAACACGATCTCCCGCATCATACGACGTTGACTAACATATACATATACACCCGGAACTCGCTGCCTAATTTCGACCATTCCAATAAACCAAACACCCCCCAACCAACCCCTACCGTTCTTCTCGTCCGGATTAAAAGAGTTCCCCTGGTCGTCTTGCCAGCCGACCACCTGAACGAACTCCGCGACGAAACTGGGTATGCTGCACTTTAGAATCGCAGCGTTGCCGCGTATCACGTACTCGTTGTTGACTTCTGATTGATAATACTGGTGCACCACTACAATAGAGGGCACATAAGCTGATAAACGTTCGAGGCGCGGCGACCAACCGCGGTCATCGTCGTAATAACCCGTCCAGTCGATACGTAATCGGTCTAGCCTACCGCGGGACAGGCGAATCTGAAATAGCTGCGGCATTATCGATCATCATTCTCGCGGTTTTCACGAGACTGAAGGGATCTCTGTCTCTGCGAACCAAGAGAATACCTTGCACGCGATTCTGTAACGCGGTTCCGGACGCACGACGTTGACGACAGCTTCTCTCCAGTTGGAGAGACGTGTCGTCGTCGTCGTCGTTTCAGTTTCTCGAGCAGATCGATCCGCGTGGTCGCATCTTACGCCGCAGTCGCGAGCTTCGAAGAGGAAAGAGCCCTTGCAAACCTGGAGAAGAGGCCCGTCGAAACACACACACACACACACACACACACACACACCGGCGAACGAACGGAGTGCACTTTCGGTTTGAACGTGTTATATACGCGGTGTTTCTACGCATGTGCCGTTACAACAAGCGAGAATCAGGGGACCACTGCGAAAGAAAGAGAAACTGACGAGAGTAGGGAACATACACGTCCGACGTTAACACATCGATGTCGACGACGATGTGCTCCAATTCGGGCCAACAACGCTATACCCCGTTGAAAGCAACGCAAGGTGGGAGGCAACGTTAACGAGAACGAGCCAGACGATGCTCTCGCGTGCGCCACCGTGTAACGATTTCGCGCGAGCAGAGAGTGAACCGAATCAAGCTGCTCCGGGTCCATCGTTCTACTTTTATATTGTGGATTCACCGTGTCGGGATTAGAGGTGTGACTATCGATAAGTGTCGATAACATCGAATTGTTATCGATATTTCGATAATGTCGTTAAAATATCATTAACGCGAATAAAACGATTGAGATAGACTGCAATGTATTAATTGTAATAAAGTTATTCTAAATCTATTTATTCCTATATGAACTTGTTGCAGACAACGTATTAGTGTATTTTGGCTGTAACCTTGTTCTCCTGTATGAAAGAATTTGAATAGAATTATAAAAATAATTGATTTTGATACGATTAATACCGTGCAATCTACCTCAGTCACTTCCATTCCCGTTAAGAACATCTTAACGATATTATCGATATATCGTTCGGTATCAAGAAATCTACAATATATCAATATTCGATAATCGCACCTCTAGTCGTCACGCGATTGTTTCCATCAGTGGTAAGCTCGAGTATCATTTACGAACGTCCGTGCACGCGTTCGTTCGACGGTTACATTATGGACACGATTCGTTTCGTAACGATCGGAATTGTACATACACGGTGTATGTATCAAGAACAGGGATACGATCTGCTCGCGGGGACAACAACGACAACGACGACAATGAATCGTTTCTAAGAGAAATAGGTTCGTTCGATCGAATCCGATCTAGTACCGTAATCGTCGCCGGGTACGAACTCGTCTCCCTGATCGGTGTGCCAGGATAGAACCTTGACGAAATCAGCGACGAAGGAAGGAACGACGCACTTCAAAATGGCACTGTTCCCACGGATCGCGTACTCCTTGTTCACATCTGTGTCGTAGTACTGCGCCACCACTATACGATTATTGTCGTTGAAACGCGCTTTATTAAAAGAACGTGATTCGCGGCGGCGAACACCTGCTACCCCCCAGTCTCTTTCTCACTCTCTCTCTCTCTCTCTTTGTCGAGTTACACGATTCGCTTCGTATATTTCAACCGGTGTTTTCCTGTTTTAATTGCAACGCGACAATTGGGTCAACGACGTTACCGTATGCACGGATTACGATCGGACAAATTCCAGAATTGTCGTCGATGTTCTGACGAAATAGTCGAGCTACGAGAGATGCTACGATTGCATGTATCGATCCACAGCTTTTTCATGAAACCAGAGCAACCGAGAGAGAGAGAAAGATTGGAGAACAGTAAATATATTCGAAAACAACGGCGGCGGCAGCGATTAACGTGTAATTTAATTACGGATCTAGCTTTGCCCCGAAGTTCGAGAAACTTTGATACTTGCCACCGATAATTCGGGCGCTTATCGGACCTATCACGGAATTCGAAATACCGATCCAGTGACTTTACTCGGTCGGTTCTGTGTTTAGAGTTCGCTGTAAAGAAGATTCGTTAGTTCACCGTGCCTGGCCATTCGCCGAACGCCTTGTCATCGTTAATTTTAACTGTTTAACACTCGACTGTATCGACTACTACTTAATCTAAAAATTTGAAATAGATTTCTATAAATATTCCTATTTGCTTGTAATGGTACAACGAGATAATCAAATGAAATCTAGAGAAATTAATCACTAAGAAATTAAAGTACAATTGTAGTGTACAGTTTGACAAATAAAAGTTAAGTAGTAGGTTCTAAATATTTCTAGAACACCTGAAGTCGGATATTTGCAAACTCAAAAACCCTTCCGCCAGCAAAGTGTTACAAGAAAAGTCATCGTAATAAATCTGAACCGTTTTTAGAACAACAACGATGGCAAGACGTTCTATAATCTCTACGTTAAAGTTCGTTATCATGTTCGACAGAAGACAGCTGGCCAGGACACGGCGAGATTACGTTCCGTGTGATTTTCGAATACAAGTAAAGAGGATAACACTTACCGGCTCTCACGTTAACATCACGGCTGTGAACAGAACCTGCCGGTGATCGTGCCAGACAGCTGTAAACCTGAGCGTGAACCTCTTGACGGTAATCCTCGGCGCGGAAAGGAGGGAAGACCAAGTTTCCATTCGGTAAGACCTGCACAGCCACGAGTTTTTTTTTTTTATGTCACGAAAGACAGTTCTAATTCGTCGCTAATCAGGCGACAATTAATCCGGCCTTCTCTGGTCGAACGACTGACGTAAGATCGTTCGTTGCATCGGTAAACGCGCGACTCGTGGGTGTCGAACGGTTCGATAGTGGGATGTCTACTAGTAACACGATTACCCGGTTGCGAGAAAAGGAAGTTCAATCTGGAATCCAATGATTGGCATTTCATTTCCCTGGTAACACGTGGGTGTTGCACGAAGCGTAACGATCTTTCTCCCGTTCTACGGACAAGACGAGTAGGTGTCGCGTATAAAGCTTCTCAAAGAATCATAGTTACCGAAATTGGTTCGTTTCACATCGATATTTTCGACTTCGAAATAATATGATATAACATATATGTATGTATATCAGTCTCATAATTTTGAAGTAATGATTTAAGGATCTGGGCGTTAGAGGATTAAATATTCTCTCCGTCCGACCAGTGATCCATATTTAGTAATCGATACCCTAATGTTGACTTTCATGTTTCCCGATCAGTGGATGGACTGGACGCATATTTACTACGCCAGATCGAAGAATCAACTTCCTTTCAAAGAAACAACAGTCGTTCCCAGTGTATATCGACGGAAATAAAAATGTGTACATACCTGTCGGAGCCCCGGAACGTCCCCTACGGCACTTCCGTCAGCGCGAACCCAAATGATATCCGGTTGGGGGTTTCCTCTGGCCTGGCATTCGACGACAGCTCCGGTTCCGTTTGAGAAGTCGATACGGTTAGGCGGTTCCTTGAGAAACACTGGTCCCATGGATTCATCCTCAGCGTAAGCCACTGCAAAGAGAGGAGAAAATCGTGTTTACTACGGTTTATCGTGTAACCCATCTAAGAAATCAGGTAAGTCACGCTAAGAGATTAATTAGACGGAACTATGACAGGCGGCGGAACTTTCGTTGCGTGTCTTTCGGTTTCGGTTATCGTCCGTCTCCGCCAGGATACGCGACACCCACATTCAATTGGCGACGCGCCAATTGCAGCAAACAACAGGTTGCCGGTCTGCTATTGAATAATATGCTATCAACGTCACGTGACCATAAGGGAGAGACGGATTATGCGTGATTCCTTTTCCGTTCGGAGAGCATCCATGCTCCTTGCCCGCGAGCCCATCGACACGTCGCGGAACATTTCTTCGTCGACGATCGATGTAATCGATCGAGAATAGGGTCAATGTCATCCCTCCATATAAACGATCATCCCTGAATTCTCTTAAGCCGACCGTAGCCTTATTATTTCAGATTCATAATTCAAACGTGGTTCACACGTGTTTACGATTATACAAGAGCAGTCTGTGCCACTTTCTTCCCGTGTAACCACCTACCTGCCTGCCTAACCGCGTGCAGAACGGATAAGCACGCGGCACTCCGTAAAATCGAGCAACGAGGAGAACCGGTTGGCGAGCCGTGCACCGACTCGCGGGCGACAGGAGGTGCGCGCGTTCAGGTACACACGAGGGAACAGGTGTTCCGAACTGTTATGTCGTATCAAGACCCGAGGAGCTCCGCACAGATTGCTCTCGCGAATCCTCCCTATCCATCTCCAGCCTGTGTTTTCTATTCTTGGCATTAAATACCTCTACACTGAGAAGGAACTCGCATGAATTTAATTATCACGCGCCACGGATCTCTCTGCGCATTTTGTCCGGGGAAAGCAATTAAAGCGCGGAAACGATGGAATTCGTGCGAGAAAATTCCAAAGACCGATCCATGGTAGTATATGTACGATCGAGCTGAATGGAACACCTTGTGTCCGTTAACATTGACTCGAAAAGATCTCGAGTATATTTAAACGGGAGGGTGGAGTATGTAACATCGAAGGCAAATTGATCACTGACCCGATCAGCGTATAAAGCATTTTTCGTAAAGTTCCAGCGTTACGCGCCCACGATCAAAGACGTGGTGTCTTCGCGGTCGATAACCGGCCCGTAATCTATATATAGGCAAGCTTTGAAACGTCCGGACACAACGCTGCATCGAATATATTCACATACGCGCACGTACCACGCAACTATAATACACAATCGTGTGTACATCCTACATCCACCTCGATGGAACGTTCGTTTGCGCGTGTCTGACTCACGGGGGCCCCGCGTTCACCAATGTCGGAGCTGGAAAGATCGTGACCGTCATGATAATCGGGAGACTTTTGAAAAAGCTCGAAGACCACGCGGCGGTAACGCGTCGACCGCAGCATTCATATTCTGCGATTTCACAAACGTAATTGCAGTCCACCGCAGCTGGTAACTGTGTCACGAGCGATAAGCGAGCTGTCTAAAGCGGGAAACGTAACGTCGATGAACTGTACTTCTTGTCCGGAAGTCGGGGGAATATTCCTCTGAATCTGTCGGATCAAATGTGGATTTTTTTGGTGTTTTCTCTTATTTACCGACGTGACCCAACCAGTGATAGATAATCGCTGGAAAAATGTTTAGAATAACGATACAAACGAATGCAAAATGAGCGTTTCGTGAATCTCGCTGCCGTCCTGAACGTGCTAACTATCGTACAGCGAATAGAGGATCATTTTGACCAATCTGTAGTTGGTATATGAACTTGAAAATATAAATAAAATTTTATGCACAATTTCTTCTTCAAACCTGGGTACAAGAGAATTTTTACTACAGGTCAAAGTAACCCTGAATTCGTCTACCGTGCCTTCCAAGGGTTAATCAATTTCTGGTATATTATTTTTCGACTCCAGTAGTCAATTCAGCTCCGTTACATGGGTAACAAGAATTTTCAGACGCCATTGAATGCAAGAATCGGACATTGCATTCGCCGTAGCGTAAATATATCCTAGCGTCCGCTGAATCATCTCTGAACCTCGCGGCGCAGGGCGGACATGACGGCCACAAAATCAGAGGATTCACCTGGCGACTGCACGTTGCTCCGGCAAAATACGATTCTCTTTCAAGCACGGCCCCAGGTCCGTTCTGGGAACAGCAGCTGTTCCTTTTCCCCTCGGTTCCCTCCCTCGGACCCCCTTCTATCTTGGCCTTTTCTTCGGCAGCTGCACTCCGTGCTCCGTTTCTACCTACGCCTCCGTGGACCTTTTCGCCGCGTGATGGATTCGAAATGAAACGGAACTCGAGATCGCATCGACAACTGCAACCGGCCATTCTCCTACCTGGCCTTCGTCCGTTCTTCCGACAGGAAGAAAATTGTTCGCCGAAATTGGATGGAAGGTGAAAGTCGCAAAGACCGTCTTGTAGAATTCGCGAATATTGTTAACATCATCGCGTCAGCGCCTGTTTTCGTACGTTTGACTCATTCTCCTGCAGTTATTATACGCTTAGTACTCTTTTTGCACAACAGATACATTCTCAAAAAACAGTAGATATACAGAATGGACCACGAAATGTGATCAATTCAGATTATTCCACTGCTAGCTCTGTTCGGTCGAAAATTGTAGATGTAACCGTGAAAATTATAAATTTATCTTTAAAAAAAACTAAAGGTGACCTTGAAAACTCCCGAAAAATAGGGTTGACAAAAAATTTGGTATAATCATCTGGAAGCTCTCCTTGAATTATGTAAAATTTTCGATCGAACAGCTAGCAGTAAAATAATCTAAACTGATCACGTTTTGTGATCCACCTTGTATATGGATATGTTCTTTCAGAATAAAATTGAATTGTGTACTTTTGAAATGATAAATCTGCTAAAAAACGAATCATATAAAAAGAAAATTCGATTCTATTATAAAACGTATTACGTGATATTCGTGTGAAACTGGCATTGAATGTATCTTTATGATCAACTTTTAATTAATGATTATTTGACACGTCGATATGAGAAATTAGAATACGTATCGGCGTTGAAAGCCGCGTGGTGAATTTCCTACAAAAGTGGAGGGCACGATCATTAACGCTGGGATTAATGAGCGCGCGATCTGCCTCGCACAGATGTTTCGAACTCAGAATTGGGGCACAAGAAACGCTGAAGAATCCGTGCTTGAGGGAATCTCGCCGAGCTTCTGACGTCAGCTCATTCGTTCCTAATAAAAACCGGCCACATTTCGCTCGCTTAATGATCACACGCCGTTGGCGGAGATTGGAGCAGTTATAAGATTGTCCGAGTCACTTGTGGCTAACCTCTCTCTATTGATCGAGCATCCGAGAAACGTGTCATCCGGAAGATTGTTAAACGAAAGATGAGTTACTGCGTCAGCTGCTGACCTCACAGCTTGCGGCACGTCATACGGTCCCGATGCATAAATGATTAGATAGGCAAGATACAACGCAGCAACGCACACTTTCGAGTGGTTGGCGTGGCTCGTGAACAGAGAGGCACTTCCTTGCTAGGAGAGAAAGAAACGGAGATTCGTTTCCGGATAAACGTTCTAAATCAAGGACACGCGATCCTTTTAGTGACTAACATGAATATGGAAGCAATCCAGCGAAACTTCTAAACTAGTTAAACAACACTGTACTTTACTCTTCTTTCAATGCCACTATAGGTATAAATATTTTGTACAATTAATAAAGTACGCAGTTCTACCATCCAGACGTATCGGTACGCCATCTTAATTCACTCAGTATTACTCATACCGATGCGTAATCAAACAATTCCGCAGTCTGTTACTATTCCACAACTCACCGTTCGTCAATGCCAAGACAGCCAATAGAAGCATCGTCGTAAAGTAGGTGGGTATCTTACACCCTCCGCCTGGAGGATCACGCCACATCCTGATCCTGTTTTCCTCGATCGCACTGATTCTCACCTGATGTCACACAAAAAAGCACACAACTGAACGACGAGCTTCGCCACTTGTGATGCCGCGCAAAGGATCGCAACAGCCACGCTGATATGTACTTCCTGTACGAATGAAACGCACGAAACAAAAGCCTACGGACGGTCGTAAAGTCCCCCAAATGTTTTCCGTCCACCGAGGAGGATTTCACGCGTGTTCCCACCTACACGCGTTCAAGCGCGTATGTATACATATTCATCTGAATTGGACGACCTTTGTACGGTTCAAGGCCGACTGGTTCATCCGAAGCGACTCTGGCTCGCGATACATGCTGGATCACCCCGAAATATTTTTAAGCTCCGCGGGCAGAATCATCATGCGTGACCACGAGGCGGCCGGTGCAAGCTGTTGAACGGAAGCAGCGTGTACACGTCATCGGTCGTACTTAATAGTTCCCTGTGTTTCTACATTCTCGTACGACCAATATGCTTCAATATCGCAAAACATCGAGGCAATATCCACCTATCGTGCAAGGAAACGAAATAACGGGCAAGGAATAATGCATGAGAAAGAATCAGCTGCATAGCTTTAGCAAAAAAAGAAAAGAGATTCACTGCAATCTGCGTGAAGATGCAGGATCCATGCGCGCAAGTTGGGATTCATATACGAGTCAGCATGTTAAGCAGGCCCATAAGGCGAAGCGGACTAAAAACGAAGAGGTACAAAAAAAAGAAAAAAAGAAACAAGAAAAGGAATCGACCGGGTGAGAATTTAAAAGTGGGCGAAGCCCCTTTCGCATCCGTTGATTCGTGATAATCCCTGGAACGCGTTGCCGACAGTTTTTTTTTTCGAAAAACCACCGGCGAAACATCCGTGCACGTGCTGAATCGCTGATGATGGCACACGGGTGTCAGGTAGGAAAGAGACAACGAACCGGACAGGGGAAACGAACGGAGACGAGGAGAGAAAGGAGAGAAGCAAAAGCACGGAGTAGCGCGGCTCGTCACGGAGCTGCTCCCTCTCCGGCGGGTTTATTGATCGCAGGGTGCGGAGCGGACCAATCTACCCCTCGTGCAGCAGCGTACGCCATGCTTGCTGGTATTTGCCAGAGCCAGTCCGCTTGCTTGCCAGGGTCTGCCTGATTCTTCGGCGTCTCCGTGCAGGCCTTCGCTAAATCCGGAAAACCCGCCCCCGACCCTATAAAATGCCGCATGGCCTGGGCTGGCTACCTGGACCAGAAATACCACGGACTCTACTGGTCGGACCGAAACCGCTTCTACCCACACCGGGTGCAGGTCGAGAGGCTATACAACACGCGGGGAGTTCGTTTAATTAATTCCTCGATGCTAATAGTATCGATACTTCGACATGGGTACCGATGGATCTAGGACAGCATCCAACGTCTGCTCTTGTCCCTCCCCCCGGAAGGTCACCACCCGATGCAACTCCAAATTCGTTTTCTTTCAACTTTCCCGAAGTACAAAGCTTCCTTTCAATTGGGATATAATGTACATCTCTGTACGTTGCATTTATTCCCAATCGACGTGTCTCTCCCCCGTCACGTCCGATAAATCGTCTCGGTGTTCTATTAAACAATTCAGCGTCAGACGACGCGATCCAGAGGGGGGGTGTTCGCGATTTTCTGTACTCGTCCAATAGAAGAATCGACTTGTCAATTGAAAGTGACACGCCGAACGAGGATCAAAGACCCTATCGATTCAACGTTTCGAATCCGTACTCTTCAGCGGGCTGTTGCGATCCCGATTGAATTATAGGGAAGCTATAGCTTCGGAAACTGGAGGAACGATCACCCGCGACGATCACACACGGCCGTTCACAGGAGCACATGTAGTAACCACACGTACACACCCACGAAAGATTTCGCAAATCCGCAGACCGGTCGGGGACTTTTCCGATTGACCGGCTCTTTTTTTTTTTTTTTTTTTTTTTTTTTTTATCGCAAACGGAAACCACGGTGTCCGTGGGCGAAACCCCTCGAGCGTGACTCACACGTGCGGATCGGCGGCGATTATCAACCGGTCTACGTACCGACGACACGTCGATTAAATCGCAGAAACACACACGCTGAACTGTACACACAGAGACCGCTCGGCGAACAGAACGAACACTCTAGGTCCGTGGACGACCGAAGAGTGCAGCGAGGAGCGTCGTTTTGCTTCGGGACAGGCGGCTGCTCCACGGGATCTCGAGGTCGACGGTGGGGGGTCGTCGTCGTGGAACGCTCTTGCGTCGTGACGTAGTGGGGACGCCGGTTGGTCGACCTTTGTCGCACGCGACGGATACTGCCGTGGGTCTCGTGTACACTTTTCGCACCGACTAGGTACCGTAATTGTAATTGGACCAGACAAATTGTATCTGAAATCGCGAATGAGGAAGTAACCCCACGAAATAACAAGATGTACTTTCATTTTTCAGCGGAGAAAGTTGTTTCCTAAACGGTGAAGATATCCTTCTAGTGTGCCTACTTACGAGAGAGGCGAGTTGAAGTAACGTTACTCGATGCAACGGTAACTGTTAAAAGAACTTTTAAATTTATGATTCTATACTATCTATGTTCAAGTATAGTTTCATACATAGAGATAACGTTACGTAGATATTTTTAGAAACATGTTCTTCGGAAGATTCCTGAATTGACACTTATTTATGTACGCGTTTCCCTTAATTACTTATAACGGTTTAGTGTAAGATTAATAATTAAATTCAATTGCGTTTTTTGTCTCAAAGAGAAATTTTTTGTTGGAGGTAAAAATTAGAGAGTTGTTGAATATCAAACTTTTGGTAAAATTCGATAAACTTCTCGTAATTAATTGCGTATTTCATGAATAATATTGGAACCAACATTTTATTATGGTCTCTAAGCCCGCCATCGGGTCACGTCACCGGAAGATGACTGTTTTATTGACCAGTTCGCCGGAACCGTGTGTACGACAATGCGGCACTTGATAAAGAAGAATCCGTCTGTGACACCGTAGTGTACTGTCAAAATGGTAGAAAAAGAACAAACGAAAAGAGATATAAGAGAGTTGGCTAAAAATGACAAATATTCAATTTTACTTCCGACGTACAATGAGGTTGAAAATTTACCTATAATTATTTGGCTTATCATCAAATACATGGACGAAAGGTAACTACTATGACAACATAACCTCGATTGTGTGCAAAGTAGCCCCTCTAGGGTGAAATTAAACAGCTGTGAATATAAAATCTGAAAAATTAATAAGCTGGGCGAATGTGTGCCACATTCTAGCGAACTTGATTATGAGATAATCGTGATAGACGATGGTTCGCCAGATGGGACATTGGATATGGCTAAACAGCTGCAAAATGTATATGGCGAAGAAAAGATAGTATTGAGACCAAGGGAAAAGAAGCTTGGACTGGGAACCGCTTATATGCATGGGATTAAACATGCTACAGGGAACTTCATAGTCATTATGGATGCTGATTTGTCTCATCATGTACATACTTTGTCTTTTGAAACATTGTTTTATTTATACCAATGAAACTCGTATATGTATATTTTTTTTTTTAGCCAAAATTTATACCCAAAATGGTTGAACAACAGAGATATCTTGATTTAGACATTATTAGTGGTACAAGGTATGCTAATGGTGGAGGAGTTTATGGCTGGGACTTTAAAAGAAAATTGATAAGCAGAGGAGCAAACTTTTTGACACAAATTCTCCTGAGACCCGGTGCTAGTGATCTCACAGGGAGCTTCAGGTACATGATATACAGCTACTTATATAAATTTTAAAGTGTAAACACATATTATACAGTCTTATTCGTACAGGTTGTATAAAAAACATGTGTTGGAGAAATTAATTCAGTCGTGTGTATCCAAAGGATACGTCTTCCAAATGGAAATGATAGTCAGAGCCAGACAATTGAAATATACCATAGGAGAAGTACCGATCTCATTTGTAGACCGTGTCTACGGTGAATCAAAATTAGGTGGTTCAGAAATATTCCAGTTTGCAAAAGGTCTTCTATACCTTTTTGCTACTACATAATCTAGAAACCAAGATTCTGCAATAACATTCCCTGTATTGTAAACAGAATATATAAATTAAAAAATGTGTAAATAAAACATTATATACCACTGGACGTTTTTTAAATAAATGTTAAATTTTTATGTTTTATTGGACTATGTTTAATTATGTAGAAAATGAATTGCGAAACCAGTTCACTGATTCCACGAGTTAATAAATTGAATTACTCTATTTGAAAGTGAAGATGCACGTGCCAGTGCGCACGTGGTCGTGAATGGGCTACACGAAACACATATAACGATTCTCGCAAGCGATTCCACCCTCGCCGCACCCTCTGACGTCACGCAGCCTCCGTTTATTGATCCATTACGAAATTACAGTCTATATTTCGACTTGAGCGAAATGCTAGACGATGCCACAGTGTGCCACGTACGAAAAGACAAGATGTGAAGAGACCCTTCAATACCACACCCCTTTAATATTTATAAAGTTACATAATAAAATAAAAACTAAGACCCATCATCGATAATCTCCACAGATTCCAACGCATTTATGATCAAACAATTTGAACACTACCATCTAAAATTATCTATGTTACGTACAATTTCGAAAGACAATAATTCTTTATCCCCTATTTTTCAACCCTTTCTTAAAATGGTTAAAATGATATTTAAAAGAAGAAAAGAATATTGTACTTCTGTTCACATTCGATCGATTATACCAGGTTGTGTCGCATCATAAAAAGAACTCGAAAACGCAAGAGTGGCTGTTCTGGCGAGCAAAAATGCTTGGAGGCCTCGAGAGATCAGAGTTTCCGCTCGCGGAAACCTCGGGGGGGTGCAGTCCGGCAGTTCTGTCGCAAGCTTCGCCGCGACCAGACGTGCAAGTGGCGTTGCCTACGCGCCGGGGTGAATCTTGCAAGCTCCCCCTTATCGAGCTTTCAGATGGCTGTGCCTTTTAGATTTTGACGTTTTCCCCTCCGTTGTGCTTTTTAATTTCACGTCGGCTCGTTCGATCTTCCCGGGACGGTCGTTCTCGTCGCCGGACAACCAACACCGTCCGACCATGCCGAGAAAAATCGGATTCCACGTCGTGTACGCGACCAGTAAGGGAACATCCAGATTGCAATTGTGATTTCCATCGAAACTGCGATAACCTCGAGGGCCGTGCGGGAATATCAGTTTTCATAGGCCTGAACCCCCCGCGGAGACGCGTGTGTTTCTTTCAAAAATTGGAACGAACAATGACCGAATTCGAGTAGCTTCAAGTCATCTGTGGTCGCATAAACGTTACCGCACGCGGTCATTGATTTTTCCCATATCGAAAGTATCCCTATTTCTAACGCGCTTCGTTTCGCCCGTTAAAATGATCGTTACAGGAGAGTTAAATAGCAATGTGTCGACACGTGCTTCGCCGCGTTTCTTGCAACGCTGTATATTTGCAAATCACCCTGTGTGCCGCTCAATGAAATCGCAGAGCAACTCGTGTTCCGTCGATTAGATTATTCAGCTTTTTATTTGTCGAATGTAAAAATAGCCGGGGGTAATAACGCGACTTACTTCCACGGTTGTTGTGATTGCAATGCGTGCAACGAGCCGCAGGTATAGCGTGACGCGACGTTTCGTGTTCACGGTCCATCCAGTTAAAAATATAATGTCAGAGTTAAAACATTATCGATCACATCGGCATCTCCATTTCTGTCCGTGAACGAGAATGGTCGCGAAACCTACGAGATTGGTCGGTGTCGGGGAAAAATGATTTCATAAACGAAATCGAGGAAAATTCGAAGGCTATTTCGTAATCTCCGATGAGATTGTTATAAATTAATACGAAATCGCGACGATTTGTTATTTAATTTGCCCTCGAGATTTGTACTCTCGTATCCGTTTATATATTCGTAAATTCTCAACTGACCATAGGCGAAGAGGATAGACACTCTTCGTTGGAACTGAACGTTCATGGACCGGCGGTGAGGGGTTGGCAGAGTTCACGAACGTGTACATATCCTCAAGAACTCATACTTCGCCTTCATGGGCCAACGAAGCTTACGAGGATACAAGTGTTGGCTCACCAATATCTTATCCGTGAGTCGACGTAATTGAAAAATAAAAGAAACGTCTCGTACAATTATTTCATTACTCTTCTATTCGAATAAAATGTGAAAAAATCCATTGTACAGAATAGAGACTTGAATACCGTCGCGGTACCATCCGAGAAGCTATTCAGAAAATGAATGTTAATGGAATCAAGCGCTCCTACCACGAATTCCCGAGGCACTTTTCATTTACCCTTCTCGGTTCACCCTCTCCTCTTATTCTGCTCACCGTTGAATGCCGAACAACACTTTATTCTGCGTTCCTTATAGGATATTTTTTTTTACTATTTCTGTAAAGCGCGAAGGGTAATCTAGCGAAGACAATTTAAACGTTGATCAAAACGATTGCAGCGCAGAAACTGGAAATCTGGACGTCACGCGAGGAGAATGCCTCTGTCACGACCTAGCGTCGCGCTTCCGGAGACAGAGGCGGTCTCTTTGAAACTGAGGCTACACAAACCGCACAATAACGCGCACAATGTATACCAGCAGGTACAAAATCAATTTCCTGGTTCAGAATAAATACGTGAAAACATTATTCCTATTTATATAAAAACAAAAAACTGCAGGTCGGTCTTATCGCTATTAATATCCTCGGCGAACCCTACGGACAAGAGCTGACGGGCCAAGGAGACGCACCGTACAATCCGCACTACACGTCCCCGTACGATGATCTAGCCTTTGAAATGTACGTCGATCGTGAAGTTGCCAAAATCATTAGACAGATGGAAGCGAAGAAGTTACAGGCGGTCGAAGGTACGTGTTTAAAGCACTTTCCGATGAAGGATCACTCCATGACTTTTGTGGTTTCTAGAGGAGAGATTCGAGTACGCATCGAAGTTAAAAGTGGCCATGGAAAATCTGCGGAAGGCCGGTGAACGTCTTGCGAAGTACGAACTGGAGAAGAAGTATGCCATCGCGTTGGAGGATTACGACAAAGCCAAGATGAAGAAAGCACAAGCGCAGCAATATAGACAGCAAGTCTATCAGAGCTTAGAAGTGCAGGATCTTCTCGAACTTCACGGGGTAAGTAAAGTAAGTAACGCTGCAAAGTTTGTGGTATCAAAGAAGTCGAATTAACTGAAAATTGTACCAATTAATAAATAGCCATTGGAGAAGAATAATCAATCTTCGGTGGAAGGGAAAGAACCGGTGACGGTAGAGACCTCGAACACTACCACAATTACCGAAGACATCACGTCTCCTCCGAGATTAGTGATACCACCCAACCGCGACGGAGCTATATCACCCACTGGCCCTGCTCATCAACCACCTGTTTCACCTCTGCATCAGAAACCAAATAGTCCAGGTACATCTACGCGAAACATTATCCTTCGGTAAATACATAAACCGCGAGTCCTATAATTAATCGTCTTTTAACTCGGCAGAAGTTACCGATAGTCCTACGAACGGAGTCGTCGAGAGACAGAACAACTGTAACAAAGGATCCCTCAGACGGAAAACAAAGTCAGCGGGACCGACGCTTCGATCTAGCTACGAGGCTTACGAGGAGAGGACAATACCTGCCTTAAGACAGTGATATATCTTGCTTTCCCCCTCCAAGTCCAGATTTCCATTTGTTAAGCTTCCAGTAGAAAACATTCTAATACGTCGTATTTCAGCTCACACACGAATGAATTCACCCGGGAATGCCACATGGAGAACACGGAGACGAAGGTGATCTCTAAACTGAACGACAGAGAGAAGAAGCAAGCTGCGTTACCGATCGCCGTCTTCGGAATGGAAATGGTGATGCAAGTTTCGCGTGATTTCTTTCACTGGTCTCCGAAATCGCGACGTCTGACAATTGATCGTTTAGGTGGAGAAATTCTACTCGAAACAATTCACGGACAAAGAAGAGGGATTAGTTATGCTGAAGGAAGAACTGAAGACGTTCGACCCGGAAGTGTCGAAACACTCGGCGAATAAAACAGCCAGAGCGACGATTTTGCTGTTGCATAGAGCTCTCAGGGATAAAGTCTTTAGCGTGTACAGTCTGGCGGCGCAATTAATTAGGATCTTCTTCTCGGAGTTCGCGACAGACAGGTATGATCATCCCATTCGCTATCCACCAACGAAACGATCGCGATTAATATACTTTTTTTTTAGAGTGTCGTCCACTGAAATCGCAAGAAGCGTAGATCGTCTGCTTCCAGAGCTGTTGACTAAGTCAGGCGACACCACACCGAGAATTCATAATATGGCAGTGCATACAATACTGAGTATGGCGGACTGCAAGTGTGTCAGGGAATTGCATATAATACCAGTACACTTAACGAGGCCAGTCAGTAGTAGTACGCATCAAAGGCTGGCTCTCAGTAGACTGGAAATGGTGGAGCAGCTGATCCTGAACCATGGAATATCTACTGACAAACAAAGGTGACCCTGAAAAATGAATCTCTACCATATGGTAGATTTCTATCAATGCCAAGAATGAAGTATTAGTTCTGTAGATTATGAACCCTCTCATTGAAATCATCAAGCCTCTGTCAATGATTGCCAACAGTACGTTCCCTGTTGCTATCATTCCCAGAGGTTCATCCATTTCATTGAGCCCCCATCCATAAAACGCAATTACTCTGATAAGGTATTGTAATTGTTGCAGCGGACTCACGTGTCGAACGTTGTCTGAATTGGGTTCCTCGGGTTTGCATCACCCGGCGGAGGCGGTCAGGAAAGTTTCGGAAAGGATCTTGGTGCTCGTGTACAAAGTGAATCCTAGATTGGTCCGCAAACAGTTACCTCCGGACGATGACATCACCAGAAGGAACTTACTGTACCGTCAGCTTTTTCACGAGTTCGATCTCATCGATCTTCAGGTATTTTTCCGATAAGAGGAAAGCAAACGTAAATATTTGCAATGTCTATTTGGTATTTACGTATTCACAGAGGAAGAAGGAAACGGAAGCGTGTCATAAAACAACGACACCAACGCGGACGAAATCGACGGAGAATAATGTAGCGAACTTGACGAAGTCACCGTCGAGAACGAGTCCTGTCGTTAGTACTGGAAGCTCAACGAGCATAACATCTCCGTCCGAGAATAGTACAGATCACAAGGGTGACAAGTAAGTGACTTGTAGTTGTACTATAAAAAAAATGATTACACAACACTTGTTATGTACGTGTGTTTTTCTTTATAGGATGTGCATATTTTGCCTTTCCAAAGGACAAGGATATTCAGAAGAGGGGCTCAATATTCATTATTGGAGAAGCTGTCCCATGTTGACGAAATGTGAAGCGTGCAAGCAAGTGGTAGAAATTTCGTACTTGAACCTTCACTTGTTAAGTGAGCACTTGATTATTTTATATTGTTTAGATGGATACTTTCATCTTGTTTTAATCAACATATGCTTTGTTTATTATTAGATGAATGTGATATGCGAAGCAATTACGTGAAGTGTGAAACGTGCAAGCAGGTAATCCACGAGAACTCCTTTCAGGAACATAGGAGAAGTGATAAATGTACAAGTATGTGTCGCATCGGATAATAGAAAAATATTATTATATGAACACATGTTTGTTACTTATCGTTCGTGTTACAGAACCCATCAAAGGCTACGAGCACTGTCCACTTTGTTCTTGTCTTGTAAATCAAAATAAGTGGAGAGAGCATCTCATGGGTGAACATCCCTGTACGAATAATCCACGAAACAAACTAGGGAAAAGTTGTAAGTGTTCTGTAAGTTTTATGTAAATATACATACGTAAATTTCATTTTGCTCTACAGGTTCAAAGTCTCCATCCAATTCTCAAAATCTCGGCGGGAAGATAACATCGCCAACTAATAGAGATTACTAGCATTAATCGTCCGCTTCGAATATCTCGGAGTATAAGAAATTTTTAGAAAACGTTTTTCTTTTATGTTCTTTATAGTTTATCTATATGTTACGAGCTGTCCAGCGTTTTTTCATATTTGTACTGGTATTTAAGTGTTTTCTGATAGAAAAACCCGTCCTTCATTAGTAGATATATTTCTGTATTAAAACAAAATTTCTAATCATAAGTTAAAATCTCTAATCGCTAGGATATTAGGAGTCTTGTTATTAACTAAATTGAAAGCGAAAGAAAATCTTACGCACACTGCAATCTGAGGCGAATATCAACGAGACGTAAGAAATATTCATCTTTTTCCAATTTAATATACGGTAGAAACAAGGAGTTCCATACAATTTACAAACATATTATTGAACGTTATGGCAACCGCCATTTTTGCATTAATGATTCCTCAGCATCCGGCCATGTTTATAATAATATTTGTACTATAATGTATCAGTCAAATAATATTCTAGTGGCCGAAAATAACGAAAAAAGGAAAGGGTACTCATCGCTCAAATACACAAGATACTATATGTAATTTCATAAATTATTTCATAGAAAATGCATAGTAAAAACGACATTTCCCATGATGTAATTGTCACTTTCTTATCCTGTAGAAATATTTTATTTTCATTCTCATTAGTACGTCTTATCATTACAAGTAAAACTATACCCATCTGGACGACCTGCTTCAATTTTAACAAGTCGAACACCGTCATACAGTTTTAAATAAAATAATTTTTTTTACTCTTATTGAAAACATATTACCGATATTTATGAAAATATTAAAGAAACAGTAATTTATATTACAATGTCACGTGTTATTCTTTCGATTCGTTACATATTTTTAGTTCATCAGCTTCTTTTGAAGTGTCCACCTTTTCAGTAACGTCATTTTCACCGGTTTTTGGTTCATTGGTAGCTTTTGATTGATCAGTAGCTTCTGGTACATTAGTAGATTCTGTTTCATCAGTAGCTTTTGGTTCATCAGTAGATTCGGTTTTATTAGTATCTTCCGGTTTATCAACTGTTTCCGATTTGTCGATAACTTCGCCATTATCTATTTCTTCAGCAGCAGATTCACGATTCTCTTTAAATTTATTTTTTTCTGTAATAAAAATTTTCAGTTAAAATAAACTCATAAGAATAGTATTGCGTATGTCATAAATGCGTACCGAATTTTGAACAATCAGCTCCTAATAAACGTAAGTAATGTATCGCATCTATCACCGGAACGTAAGCTCTCAGGGACATTGTACCCCTCCAACCTACTATTTGTAATTTCAATGGATTTGGATTTTCAGTCGCTTTTTCTTCATAAACAAGTACACAACTACCAGTCCCTGAATTCAAAAGAAAGGTATTTGTATAATAAAATTTTAATTTAAACTAATCTTAGGAATATTCGATATATTACCAAGATTCTTTAAACGTTCCTGTGCATCAGGATGAAGTTTAACAATCTCAGGTGGTGCCATAGGATTATTATTTTGTAATAGTGTTATTAGATCATCTTTATTCAACCAAACCCTCCTACCATCGCCAATATAATTAATAAGAGTTTGCAGTCCCTCCCATGCAAGTCTAAATGGAATATTCATATTTTTGCTCGTGGTTTTGTAATCACATCGTACAAATGATTTTACACCCGTATTTATCAATTTTATTTGATCTTCATTGGAAAGAACGACATTGCGAATTTCGGGCGATGTGTAATAGATGTTTTTTTTCTTTCTACCTAAATTTCGAACCAACAAACATTTAGGATCCAATTCATCGGATATATCGTAAAATTTTCTGAAAAATTTTCAATAATCAATGATCATATAAATAAACCGTTAATAATATTTAGAACTCACTTAATAGACAACCAGACGTCTTCCTGATCATCTTTGAAGAAGACGAATGGATCTTCTCTAAAACCCTTAACTCTCCTACGTTTTCTTCTCGGCCCCCGTGATTTATTCTCATCATCTAATGCTCTCTTCCTTAAGGCTGCACTGTTATCTTTATCTTTCTCTGCTTCTTCCTCTATATTTAATTCTTTCTCTGCTTCTTCCTTTATATTTAATTCTTTCGTGCCTTCTTTGGCATCAGAATTATCTTGACAAGATTCCCAAGGTAATGGTTTTATCTTCTCTAAAACGGCCACGAAAAAACCTCCGGTATCTTGGTGGTGTGGTAATATCCTCATACTACGTAATTTAAAAATTGAAGTAATATTAATTTTGTAAGCAATGAATACTTTTATTTACCATCGTTCGAAATGAAACTTAGAAGCGTCCTCGGGTTTTGGTGGGAACATTTTCGGCCGAACTTGTGTTTGCCACTGTTCGGGCACATCTTCCCACGTTTTATAATACTGCAATTCCTTGGATGCCGGTAACCAATGCGACACACCTAATGAAAGATGTATTATTAAGTAAGCAATTTATATTACGATTTTATTGTGTGATATGAAATACCTGGATCACACACTAATCCAGGAACTAAATCTCTGCCATCAACTATCTTTACAGAGTCTCCAGTTTCAAGAAGAAGTCTGTGAAGCACAGCTTCATTTTCTATTGGATTTAATGAACAAGTAGAATACACCATTCTACCACCAACAGCTAGTAGCTCCAAACCCCTCCTTGCTATCCTATACTGGATTCTTTAAGCCCACGGGTATAAGATATTTTGTTGGTCAAATTTATATTATTTAATATCAAATAATACTTACCCATGAAGATTGTTGCCATTTGCAGGACTCCACTTGCACCAAATGTCTGGATTTTTTCTCATTGTACCATCTCCACTACATGGTACATCAGCAAGAATTCTATCAAATCTGCAGTAAAATATATAATTTAAAGTGTTTATATGAGTTGCATATTATTTAACACAACTTTCACAAATAATGTTACCAACCGTAATGGATTCTGTGTACCATCTGCTTTTGTAAAAGTGAAATTGGGCAATACAGAGGCATCATGGTTTGTAATTAAAATAACTGGGCTATTGAGTCTCTTTGCTTGATGTACAAGCATGTAACAACGATTATTGTCCAAGTCATTGGCTATTACAAAACCCTCTGGAAGGTTAATAAAATACAGCAAAAATGGATAAAAGTCACATATTCCTCTTTCATATTAAAATTGTTATCTACCTGGGAGTGCAGTTCCTTCTTCGGAATGTATCATTTCTATTAGCTGTGCAGTCTTTGAGCCAGGAGCAGCACACATATCTAAAACCTATATAGAACAATTGTAATTTTCAGGTCTACTGTTGAATTCTTTTCCAATTTTATTATATTGTTATACCTTGTGTGAAGGTTTTACATCTAATACTAAAGGTGGTACCATGCTAACCACCTCTTGCCTACTGATGCTTCCACTGTCTGTTTCAACAACTAAAAAATTATGTAATCTAAAGTAAGCTTTAGATCTCCTAATATCTTTTCTGGTTAATTGTAATTGCCAAGCTAAGCCATCAGGATAAAATGGCAGGCAGTGTAATATCTCCTTTGCTTCCTCACTATTTTCTGAATCATTTTCTAGACGTGTATTCAAGACTTTTTTAAAGAAATCTCCTTTAATAGTCTCAAGTAGTCTTTTAGCTTCTGATTTTGATCCAGTAATCCTAAAGGCTACTGGAAGATTCTTTCTCATTGTATTTATAAATGATTCCCACTGGTCATCAGGTACAATCCCCTGAGTTTTATAATAATTTTCAAACTCCTTATTTTCTCTAACAATGTCTGCATAGCTGTGGTGAGGTGTATGATGCCACTTGTCTTTTTCCTGCGCAATTTATAAGATTTTCATGCATTACTATTTACATTGAAAACATTTGTATTTACGTTCTATAACTGAATATTACTTGAAACTCATACAAATGGTTAACAGTATATAAAATCAACATAACCGCAATTAAGATGCCGGTGCTTCTTTTGTTATGATTAACATCGTACCTTTTGTTTTTCACGGCGCTTCTCAGCGAAATTCTTTTTCGGCGTATGTTTTCGTCCTTTTCCCATTATTGTTTCGAAAATACGTTTATAAAACAAGCATTTAACAATGAACACCAATGAACACGTGCTCCTAGAGCACCAACAAATTCGTTCTTTGAATTATGTTGAATAGCTAATATAAGCAGAGAGGAAATGAGAGTCTTCACCACCGGGAATTCGTTGTCCCCTTCAGGTGGCGCCAGAGATCCCGAAAGTACGAGCGTGGGGTCATAGAACCCCAACAGAAAGCGCCCGTAACCTGTGTGGTGAGACGTGGGGTCATAGAGCCCCTGCATGTGGCGACAGTGACCCTGGGCGGTGAGTACGTGGGGTCACAGAGCCCCCACAGTAGCACCGGGGACCCCGTTTGGGGGACCATGGGGTCACAGAACCCCCAACAGATGGCGCCAGAGACCCCGTGTGGGGAGACCGTGGGGTCACAGAGCCCCCACAGGTGACAACTGAGACCACGTGTGGTGGTTTGTGGGGTCACAGAGCCCCCGGTCCATGCGAAAGAGACCTCGCGTGTGTGAGTGAGTGGGGTATAGTACCCCCGGAGCATGCACAAGAGTTTAGAAACGTGTCCTTTATGGCTGTTGTTTGTACGAGTCTCGAGCTCGGTCTAATGTTGCTTGTGCAACTGTCGAAATCTGACTGACACTTGTGCGTGCTTCCGTGAGCAAATTATATAGTAACCCTAGCAACCATGGCAGTTTCTGCAGATACTACTACAGCCCAAGTTTAAAAGACGAAGGCAGTAGTTAGTTTCTGTAGAAACCTGTTGAACCAGACAACTATAATTAGTATAAGATTCTACACTGTTTATGCAGTTATATTTAAGACAATTCGATGAAATGAAGCTTATATTAACTGACGCATCTTTATAGGAATATACATATGTATACATATAAATTATAATGATATAAAAGTTTGAAATACAATACGATGCGCCACGGTACAATACGTTTATTCGATTCAATTGCTCCCTTGCGACTACAAGATCATGCTATCCGCGTTCGGCGCAGTGCGCTAATTAGAGATGACGTGCAAAATCACTAACGGTGATTTATCACAGTGATCGCCGAATCACGATCACGGTCGTGATTTAACTTCAATCACGATCGTGATTGCGATTTTTTTATCTGGAGTGAATTTGCTCACTGCGATCGTAAGTCCTTGATCATTAAACAGAAAAACGTATTCAATATGATTTTACGATGAATTACATTACTATTCGTGTTTGTAACAATCACTAGAAAAAACAAGAAATTCTAAAAGAATGATTTGCTAGGTAACATGTAGATTATAATTTATAATCATTAAAGTATTCATTATTCTTCATTGTTTATAATTATTCCTTCACTTTATACGATATAATTCGAATTTTTGTTTCGATGTCGTTAATATAAAATATACAGATTATGTGTCGCGTGTAAAGAACTGTTAGGTTTCTCCACCAATCAGAAACGATCACGAAAAATTACGAATCACTGTGAAAAATCACCGTGATTGGGAACGAACGTGATCGAATCACGAGTGATTCACAAGTAGCAGTTCACGCCATCTCTAGCGCTAATACGGAGGCCAACGATATATCACTGTGACACTTAAAAAAGTGTTAAAGTTCCATTTATATCATTGTCCTGTGGAAATATTCATACTTCCAGTAGCATTAATATTCTAATCAATGAATTTACAGAATAAGGAAAAGGAATCTAAAGTAATTTTTAGTAGTTCTATACATCTTTATCTCGAATAATTGTCTAAAACATTCAAAGTACTAGACATTTTTACACTTTGAATCTCATATCGATTTCTAAAATAATCCTAGTTCGATGTAATATAGAACGT